CAAGTAAATTAATATATTTTTGGTCAAACAATATAACTTATTTACTCTAAGCATTTATAAATGAGGGAGTGTGCATGTGTGTGTATTAGAATGTGAGATCTAAGAGCCTTACAAATTTGAAAAATAAAAAGTGGAAAAATTGTGGTGGCATTTATGTAGTTAAATATAATATGCATTACCTGCTTTGTAACTAAGGTTCATAGTTCATTCTTACGGGCACTGATCTCTCTCTTATATATATATACGGAGTATATATATATATATATATATATATATATATATACATATATATAAATTATTAGTTCGATCAGTGAACTAGTACCTTGACCGGTTCGCTCACCAATCCGGCTTTGCAAACTATAGTTTAATGGACTAATAATTAACATAATAGTCCAAATGCACATGACGTTTAGCTCTTGTAGAGTTGCACCTAAACGGCACAAGTTTAGTGGAGAAAAAGGGAAACATTACCACATTAGTTAGTTTAAGTGCAAAACGTGCACATTTCCATTAACTAATCATTTCACCAACCAAAGGACTTAACCCTAACCCGCTCGAGAGGGCAGTTGCCTACTATCACCAACCCCAATTATTGATATTCAAGAGACCAAGTGACTTTAGTTATTAGGGTAGTTTTCTTCCTCTCTAAGGACCATTTATGACCGCATCATGCAAATCCTAAAGTCCGAATTTAGAGTATGAAAGTTAGAGCAAAAATCCGTTTCAAATAATTATGCTAAACATATGACCTATGCAAATATTAGGTGCAGACTTCATTTTTTTGTATTCAATTTGTGATCAAAGTTTAATTTATCTATTACTCCGTATTAATGACCGTCCAACCGAATATAAGAATGCCTACGAAATTGGGACTCATCCTTCTTTTTAATTGTCGATCCATTTTCCATGCCAACATTTGGCCAATAATATCTTTAACCTATACGTGGAGTACATCCCATTAGCCAATATTTTTACTGAGTATAAAGTTAATCAAATACTATCTCCGTCCCAAAAAGATTTACACGTTTTGACTAAAGTTGAAATTAAGGGAGAGATAATTTTGGGTTGACTTTCTAAAAATACGTGATGAGTAAAAGTAGGATGTGATGTGTAGATTGTTAGAAAAAAGGTATGATGTGATAGGTAGGGTTTGAAAAAGTAAGGGGTAAAAGTGGTTTTTTAATAGAAATGAATAGGAGATTGTAGGACGCAATTTTTTTGAAAGGTGTAAATCTTTTTGGGACAGAGGGAGTATTTGAGAAGGACAGTGAATTTGATAGTTAAAAAAAGTTGTAATTTAAAGTCTGAATGAAGTACTACGTGGAATTTTAACTAAAATTTTATTTGGACTCAATTACATACTCCCTCCGCCCCTAAATAGATTACAATCTTTTTTTCTCTCTCCTCTCGATAACTTTTGTTTGTTTATGCAATTTCATTAAATATTTGATAAGATAAAATATTCTTGTCACCACTTATTTTGTAGAACTTTTGACTTAGTTTTTTAATATGTAATTTTTATATCTTATTGATATACGAATTTGTAAATAAAATGATTTCAAAAAGTAAGAAATTTTACTCTGTAACCCGCAATTTGTAATCAAATTGGGGACGGAGGGAGTATGAAGTAACATTTTTCCAAAAAAAAACCCAAGAAATGATTTGGAACCGAAATTGACCGAGAACTAGAACCGGACTTACATGATATCGATTCGGATTTCCCTTAAATGGGTACCCGAATCAGCAATTTTGAAACTGATATTGTACCAGACGGGCACCTTGTTCACCTCCATCCTAACATGATTTTTAAAATTAATTGAGAGGGTGTTTGGGAATGATTAACTTGTGGATAAAGTGATTTCCACAAAAGCTGAAAGCAAAAGCACATTATATCTGCTTTTCCGAAATGGTGTTCTATGTACAAAATAGTGGTGGTGAAAAGCAGATGCTGACATGTCAAATAGAGTAAAACCACTTCCACTCAAAACAGAAGCTAAATTATTAAAAGCAACGCACTGTCAAACACTCTCTGAATGCGACTTGAGTGGACATGGACCAATTCCATTTATCCAGGGTGAAATCGATATGGATAGTGGATTTGATTTATTTCTTTATCACATTCTTTTAGAATAACATTTTCAGTTAACAATTGGAGGACACACTTATATATTGCTATTGTCAAATGAAGCCTATATGAAAACAATGTCAAAATGGTAAACATTAAAAATATAAATACATCATTTATTTTTGGTGGTCTAGTAAATCAATGTTTAAAGAAAATTTGGTACCTAATATGCCAAGTTTATACCAAAATATTGGGACTAGAGCCGTCCTTCATGACCGGTCCCATTCCAATTTGTCATTTTCTCTCGGAACTGCTGATATTAATTTTGAATCAGAACTATTTATACTCAATCATCGATGGACGTAGCTCAACTAATTGAGCAAGAGGTGTCAAAGGAATAAACTTAAATTCAATTCTAAGAAATTACGTTGGAAAGCAATTTTACTAAATATATGCTCTCTACAAGTATCAGATGCAGACATCATTCTCTACAAGACAACCTATATATGATTATAACAGAATTTGTCTTCTCATAAGGCTAAGGGGTATGCATCCCTTTTTCCCCTTTTTTTTCCTTTTACCAACTCAGTGTCACGCCAGCTTTACTTTTTACATTCACTTCCCTTACGTTAAGCTTCCATTTTTAAATATAACTTCATATTTTTAATACTTGATTTAATTGAAATAATACAACTAAATGCATAAATTACAATTAATAATACTACAAAAAACTCAAGATCAAAACTAAAAGAGGAAATAAAAAAATAAAAAAATAAAAAACTAAAAAACAAATAAAAATATGAATAAAAAATAAAAACTAAAAAATGATTAAAAAACAAAAATAAAGAAAGAAAAAGAAGCAACAAAAAAAGAAAGAAGCAACAAAAAATAAAAAACCCAAAAAAAGAAGCGGAAGAAGAAGAAAAGGTGAGACGAAACCCCAAAAAAACATGAAATAATGGTCGGGAAATACGAGATGAGAAACTCGCCTCTCTTGGCCCCGTAGAACATGGGTGTTCCCTTCCATCCTGCTATTCCAGCTCACCCTTTCGACCCTCTTCTCCTCCACATATTCCTTAGAGCAGTGGAAACATGATTTAAGCCGGGGCATCAAAGCTTCTATCTCTCTGCCATATCAAAGCTTCGTTGAACATATCACTAGCGATTCTGTGCGCCATTTGACGAAGTGCGGCGGTGCACTTTTTGACATTGCTAAAACTGCGCTGATCTCTCGCATCAAAGCGTAGGGTGAATCATTGCATTTCGCGTTCAATATCGTGTAGTATTCTTAAAAATAAAGAATGACTCATTAAAAAATGATAAGTAAAATCTTATGGTGTGTAGACACATGGAGTATGAAAGTAGTCGTTGAATAGTACTTCGTGACAGCCCATCCGGTCACGGTTTAAACACTCACGTCAGGTTAAGCGCATGAACGATTCCACTTTTGTTGTTGTTGCCACTACTGGTAACATCTCGTTGAGAAAACACAAAACATCATTGCTTTTCTCTCATCGTTGGATGAAGATGATGATCTCATTTTTTAGAAAAATATATGGTATTCAGATTGTAGAGAATGTGAATATATAGTGTGCATATGTTTTTTTTAAATGAGAGGGTATTGATAATTGATTTTTTTTAAGAAGGGCAAAAACCAATTTTTAGAGTGTTAGGGGGGGACTAACTAGTGCAATCACATTCTTTTCGCATGTTCTGATTGATTTTGATCTGATTAATATAAATTCTAATTTAATCTAAATTTTATTATATTTAAAATTATTTTTGATTTGATCTAAGTCCAATAAAAATAAGTAAAAAAAAATATACGGAGGAGAACATGACTAGAAATCTAGAATGGAAAATGCTAGGGGTACACCAAAGGTGTACCCCATTTGTCCCCCACCCCCTCCATTACCACTTAAATATGCAAGAAATTAAAAAAAAATTAAGTAAATAAAAAAAATGAATGAATGGTTATGGAGGGAGTGGTGTACAAATAGAAATCACCCCTAATAGAACTAAAACATTGTGTTTATCCCTAAAATAGGAGTTCATGTTTTTTATCCCCGAAATAGGACCTCTCCCGCCACATTCTTTCTTTCTCTCCCGATTTTGCCCTCTTTTTCCTTTCCGTGTCACAATTCACAATCTGCCCCGTCTACATTACAACTATTTGTAATACACATTACCACATTACATACTGTGACACTTTACATTACAATGGTTCGTAATATTCATCACCACATTACAAATTATGACACTGGTAATATCCACATTACATACTTTGTTGGACTATCATGAATTTTTTTAATTGCATATTAACCATTGCATATTTTTATTTTTTTGTTATGCATTTAAAGTCAACATGTCCATATGAGTTTAAAGGACAAAACAT